CAATCATCAATGGCATGAAATTTAACAAGAAGAAATGCTGGATTCTGCTCCTGGGTGGGGTGATGCCAGGCACAAGTATAAACTGGGGGAGTGGCGGGAGGGCGGCCCTGCAGAAAGGGATCTGGGGGTGCTGGTCGGCAGCAGGCTCAGTGTGAGTCAGGGCTGTGCCCTGGCAGCCAAGAGGGCAAACCTCATCCTGGGGCACATCAAACACAGCGTAACCAGCTGGATAAAAGAGGTGATTGTCCTGCTGTATTCAGTGTTGGTGCGGCCTCACCCTGAGTGCTGTGTGCAGTTCTGGGCCCCACCATTTAAGAAGGATGCTAAAGGTACCTTGAATGCCTCCAGAGGAGGACAACCTATGTCCTGTGAGGAGCAGCTGAGGACTTTGGGCTTGTCTAGTTTTGAGAGAAGGAGGCTGAGGGGTGACCTCATTGCTCTCTGCAGCTTCCTGAGGAGGAAATGGGGAGAGGGAAGTGCTGAGCTCTTCTCTGGTACCCAGTGACAGGACACATGGGAATGGCTCAAAGCTGCCTCAGGGGAAGCTTAGACTGTGCATTAGGAAGCATTTCTTTACCATGAGTGTGGTCAAACACTGGAAGAGGCTTCCTAGAGAGGTGGTTGATGCCCCAATCTGTCAGTGTTTAAGAGGCATTTGGACAATACCCTTAATAACATGCTTTAACTTTTGGTCAGCGCTGAATTCTTCAGGAAGTTGGACTAGATAATTGTTGTGAGTCCCTGCCAATTGCAATATTCTATTCAATAAATGAACTAAACCGAAAGAGATGGAAGTCTGACTTAAATTGTACATTTTTACATTTACATTTTTAGCTTATCTTTTTGCAAGATACAATCTAGTGTCAGTTGACTCTTCCTTAAAATCATTCTTAAAGCGTGTGGAAAAGACTTACCATTCAGAGGCTAGGCAGAAAGGTTCTTCAACAAGATGCGTGTGAGTTAAGTGCTATGCTGGTGTAGTGTTGTCCACCTATTTCTGTGCAGTTGTATGGCCAAACTCAAGAGTAAAAACCATTATAAAAATATATTCTACTTAATGTTATAAAAGCTAAATCTAAGGTCACTTGTTGGTGCTTTGACTTTCTGAAAAGAAAGGTAGTTAAACATATAAGAATTTTTATCAAGGTTGAATTATGTTTGAGAGAGTTATTTTGTGAACTATAATAACAGTTTAGATATTTAGGAAAAAACCCTTTGTTTTTGTGAACTTCTTATTCTAGGTATTTCAGCCGCAGCCTGGAGACCATGAAAAGTATGGGGGTGACCCTGAGCAGCCCCACAAAATCCACGTTGTTACTAGAATAAAAAGTGTAGTTGGTCGCCCGTATTGGGAAAAGAAGATAATACGTGATCTTGGACTGGATAAAGTATGATTGTTGTTCTTTATACTTACTGTGTACCTCAGAAATGTAGAAACAGAGGGTAGGATTAAGGTGGTGGGTTTTTTAAGGACCTCAGTTTTGCAGTCACAAAACTCTTCTTGTTTTACAGTTGATATAAATGTAATTGAGAAATCAATTATGTGTTTAAGAGCTGAGAGGAACATTAATGGCAAGTGGCCTTTTAGTGGGAATTCAGAATACCTCTATATGGTATTGCTCTGCCTGCCTGAGGAGAACTGTACCTTGAGAATTCTGATCAAATAATAAAAATAGATTTGTAAGTACTTTGAATTCAGTTTTCTCTCTGGGTCATATTCGGATATTGCAGGTAGGCAAGTAAGACTCGTTTATTAATGAAAAGCTTACAAATCCAAGACTTGGGAGTTTGTGTCAAAGATGTGTTTATCCAGTTTTTTAGACCACCTGCACACTGTGCAGAGATTCATCTAGTCAGTGTTATATTACAGAAAAAAAATGCGTGCTTGATCAATTTAGGATCTAACTGAAGCAAGCAGTTTTACCCCTAAACTCCTGTATTTACTTTTGTAGTATTTTTAACAGTTGGAAGAATTTTGAATATGTTGATAATGTAAGGGGAATAAAGGTGAATTTGTCATTTTACTGGAATTTAGTTTGATCACGTTTTGATTTCATATTTTTATGTATATTCTTGATGCATGACATTTCTCTAACTCTTATATTTGCAAATGTGGTTTATATTTTTACTGACGGTGTGAAAAGTTTAGTGTACAGAGATCTGGGGTTTGACAATGCGTTTGTAAAACTTGTTCTATCCTTTATGTAGGCGCATCGGCCAAGACTGCACAAAAACATCCCTTCTGTGAATTCCAGACTGAAAGTTGTTAAACATCTGATAAGGTTTGTTAACTATTTGTTTAATTTGGAATGTTTAATATAACTCTTCTAGTCACAGGACTTCACTAAGCAAACTGTTTTGCCTGTAGAATACAGCCGCTGAAACTACCTTACGGGTTGCCAACAGAGGAGGAAATGTCGGACACCTTTCTTACAAGCAAGGGAGAGCTTGTCATTAAACGGCGTCTGAAACCTGTGGAGCAGAAAGAGATTCAGTCATAAGATGCGATGGTTGAATTTATATTTTATAAAATAAATCATTTAAATCCTGAGTTAAGAGTTTGTGTATGTAACGTGGGCTTAATTTTTGCTGTCTGGTATGAATGGTGGAGGTGACACTGATGCTGATGCTTAAAGCAGTATTGCATGTGTACAAATACAGAATTCAATGTTGTTGATATTTTCCTGAAATAATAAATAAATTATAGGCTTTCTGTCCCCATGATTTAATTTTGTGGATAGATTACTGCTATGTAATGGCAGTAATGCTAGTTATGGCTAGCTATTAGAGAACTTTATTTATAAAGTTGGATAAGCATAGAAGTAAGTAGAATAAATCTAATTAATGATGGTGAGGACAGTTCCCACTAAAGGTTAACAGTGATGGTGCATGACTTCACCTTTATTGCACAAAGGAAGGAATTGGAATTGAAAAACCCACTGTTTAACAGTTACACGAGAATCAACTGGCTGTCCACTGAGAGTGTCATTTGATTGAGGCAGGTGTTTGGGTGACTCACTTTGGTCATCCAGATCTCATGCTTGTTCCTTAGCAAACAGTCTGTCATCTACCCTCCTCCTGTAGCTTAAACAGTATCTGAACTCCCCATTTGGGGGTAACAGAAGGAGTGATTCACATCTTGGTAAGTTGTATAATTTGTCTTTCAGGAAACGTGCTATCTCACTTCGTATGTATTTCTTGATTCTAAATGTTTAATAATAATAATAGCCTAAGAGCTGCAGTCTGTGTGAAAGCTGGTGCTTTTCCTGTTCTAAAATTGCAAACTTTGGAAATCTGGAGACCCTGAGGCATACCTCTTTGATGCAAGTTAGTAATTATGGGCTGCAGGCTTATAAAATGACACTTTTACTGCAGAATCTTGAATAATACTGTGTGCATGTTTTTGTTTATAGTTTTAAGAATTGTGGCCAGAGTTAGGAAGCTGCTGCTGCTGTATCAAATGATAAAGTAGTTTTCATTCCAGTGAGCATAAATTCCGTAGTTTAACATGCTGTGAGCCTCTCCCACACTAGACACACTGTAGAGGAGTTATTCTTAATGACTGTATGTTGTGAGATGATCAGAGGGATACAATTACTGAAAATGAATGTTTATCTTTTCTGCATGCTTGCAGAGAAGAGTAAACACCAGTAGGAGTTCACAGGAACAGACATATTGGTAGAGGGACATAAAAGCTGGAGACACTGTGCAGAAGAAAAAGAAGGATAGATAGTGCTGTGGTGGTGGCACTGAAGAGTGTAACGGCTCCTGCAGGCAGGCTGGAAGCAGAAACACGAAACTGAGCTGAAAAAAACACAATTTCTCCACAAGCTACAGGCTGTAGTTGGAAGGACACAGAAAACACTCCTGTCAGTCTGAACTATATAGAATAGCAAGAAAAAAGTGAAGCAGATAAATGAACGTTGCATTTCTTCCCTCTCTCCTTCCTTCCAGCATCTGCATAGCATCTTGTCCTGAGGTGTGTTCTAACTGCTATCTCTGTGTGGTGTTGATTGTCTTCCTACAGGGAAGGGCAGAGTACAAGCTGAAATGTCAGCTCTTTTGAAGGGCACATGTAGTGCATCCGAGGTACAGGCCATGCTTAAAAGAGATGGCACAAGTACTAGGGCCCAGAAAATTAGGCAAACGGGTCTTGTTGCTGAGGAGTAGCAAATAGAAGAGTTGTACCGGGACTGGTGTCCAGAGCACCAAAGCCAGGATCGCCCAGCCTCGCCAAGCACGTTTGGGTTTGTGTCCGTGGCACTGCAGCCTGGTGAATCCCCAGCAGTTCTGTTGTACACAGTGTGTGTGTGAACATGGATCTTCCATGTGTGACACTACACAGACGCTGCAGCCTTCACAGGTACTGCAATGTAAACTGGAAAGAACGTGTTAATGAAGAAGCTTGCTTGGTACTGTGCTCAACTTTAGAAGTGTGTGATAAACTACTTGGTTATTAGCTCTGCTCTAACTTGCTTCCCAAGTATAGAGAAGGGAAAATATTTTAGATAGTACCTGTTCTTTCTGGGTAAGATTTAGCTACAAGAGATTTTTACACCTGTCTTTAATTGACAATTTGGCAGTTTTAATGAAAAAAAGGAAATTGTATTTTCTTAAAATTTTTAATATATGTGTAATTTGGGGTGTTTCTGAAATGGTATTTCCTCCAAGGTCACAACTGTCATACAGTCAGTCTGCTATCCCAAACCTTCTCTGTATAAGCATACGTTCTTTAAAGATTTGCTTTCAGGTCTAAAACCTGAACCAACAGGGTGGACAAACACAGTGTGTCCCCGCATCCTTTCATTAATGCAGCTTCACTGTAAATGCTTCACGTAAATCTTCCTGCAGCACAGGTAAGAGACGCTGCCTTTTTGTGCAGGGAACAAATAGGCTGACTTAAGATGATAGCAAAGTTCAGGTTGTAAGGTAACCTCTTCTATACAACCTCCTGCTCAATGCAGGGCTGGCACTGAGGTCAGACCAGGTTGTTCAGGACCTTGTCCAACCAGGTCTTGAAAACCTCTGAGGACAGGGACAGCTCAGCCCCTCTGGGCAGGCTGCTGTGCTGCCTGGCTGTCCTCATGGGGTAAGGTTATATGCAGAATACAGTCTTGTATCCAATCTGAACTTATCTTCTTTCAGGTTATGCCTGTTGTCACTTCTCTTCCCTTGTATCCAATCTGAACTTATCTTCTTTCAGTCTTCTATCTCTTGCAGTACCAGGAGGAGCCAACCTGGCTCCATTCACTCAATTATCCCTCACAGGTAGGCACTGTGGGACTGCTGTTAGATCCACCTGAAGTGTGGGGCGAGTGCTCCAGCCCCAGCCACCTTGGTGGCTCTCTGCTGAGTTTGCTCTACTTCGTTGGTCTTTCCTGTGTCAGGAGGCCCAAGGGCAACCTGTTGTAGGGAACCTGCTTTGGCATGGGGGGTTGGACTAGATGATCTCCTGAGGTCCCTTCCAACCCCTACCATTCTGTGATTCTGTGACACTACTCTAGATGTGGTCTAGCAAGTGCTTAGTGGAGATGGGTAATCCCTTCCCGTGGTCTAGCTGTGCTTCTGTTCATACAGCCCAGAGTGCCCCTCGCTGCCTTTGCTGCTTGGGCATGCAGCTGGCTCATGGTGAGCTTGCTTCTTGGGTAGGAACCATTTGCCATGTCTACCTGCTGTAGCATTTAAAGTATATTCAAACAAATCTTTGGTGCAATACATTGTAGCAGTGTAGAAATGTACTATTGTAAGAATAAATTTCTATTTCTGCACTATTGCTCTCTTGCAGGTTCAGTTACTGTTTCAGATTTGGTAATTAATACTGTAATGTGAGTAGATCAATACCATTTTAATAATAGTATCAGGGTATTTTATAGCTCGTATTTTGTACCTGTGATTAAAAAAATGCACCATATTTCAAACAAACTACCCCCCCATGTTCTTTGTTATTTCTCCTTTAGCCCCTAGTGATATGCTTGAGAGGTTTTTTTAACTGCTCTAAACCACTTACTTTTCTCCTCTGTGGCTTGAAATGGCTGAATGAACCCAACAACTCTGAAGCTAAGGCTCCCCAAAAGCTTTACTATATGATTGATTAAAAGGATCTGTTTATTGTACGTGAACTTGCATCAGATTTTATAAACTACATGTCATTTTAAAAACATGATGGAATGTGCATATTCTTACTCCAGACCCTGCAGTGGAGCTAATACGTAGCTTCAGTAGAAATATTCATTACAGCAGCTTGAGTTCTACAGGTTGTTTGCAACTATAAAGGCGAAAATGAAGCAGTATCAAGGGCAAAAAAAAGAGGTGAGGATAGCTTAGTATTTTCCCTCCTGTCACAAGAAACAGCCACTTTGTGGTCACACCACCAAAGTTAAAAGCAATTATTCTGAAAAGATGATACACTGTGATACACTCTTCTGGTATTGCAAATATTCAATTCCAAAACTGCAAATTTTTAACAACCAATTTTGTACTGCTGTTAGACACTGGTATTGACAGATAAAATCTAAGGCAGATAAAATCTTGTTAAGCAGCGTTGTAACTTTCTTGCAGCATTAGTCTGCTGCTTGAGAAGTTGTAAGCACAGCTGAAAACTCTGAATATTCTCACAGAGTGAGATAAAAGATAAATGGCAAAAGATAGATTGTAGATTGGATTACTAGTGGTGTTTTAAAGCGATTTTTTTAGTTTTGCTGAAAAATAACCCTATTGAAAGCTTGCACCTGATTCTGGCGTCATTGTTCTCTCCCATTCTTAGTCTTTCTGAGGGAGAAATTCAGGATTTTTTTAATTAGATGCAAAGTATGTAATAGATGACTAATCATCATGTAGATATCTCAGAATCCATTTCTCTTATAAAACTTGGCTCTTGCAGTTACATCATTGGCGTAGTCATGGTGTGTTGTGCCAATATCCACTCTGTCGTAGCTCTGGACGTTTTTAGGTCCTGCATTATAGGCTGAAATCCCGCCTGACATGAGAGTGAAATAAACAAGTAAGCAGAGGTGATACTTCATCAGTAAATAAGCAAATAAACAAAAATCACAACTTAAATATGTTGCCTTGGTTTGCAGCTCTCTTTTCAGCAGCATTGTATTGCCATTTGCAGCTATTTTGGCCACTGAATTGTTCCTTTTGTGTTTTAACTTTGTGAAGAAATCATAATTTCCTCCTTTACATTCAGACTTGGTGATCATTGTCCCCTTGCTGCATTTTGCTAATGTAACATCTCCAGTTGTATGACTGTTTCCTTTTGTGCCTGTTCCTTCATGACTGTTCACGTTAATAACCTCAGACATTTGTATTGTAGTTGGAATAAAGGGATCCAACCATGAGGGCTTCAACTGTAATCAGTGCTCAAGAGTATAACCATGTTTCCTCCAGAGAGGACCGTACATTTTCAAAATTAACATGTTCCTTCTTTGGAGTTGCCAAGATAGTAGCTTTTTGTAGGTAGATATAGAAATACAAAACAAATGAAATGGAGAGAGGCAGGGGAAAAACCCACCCTTACTCCTTGCAACTGAAAAATGTCATGATATTTGCCAGGTTTTCCCAAAGCCTTCTAGAAAGCTAACCACATTCCCCTCTTCCTTTTACTGAGTGTCAGGCAGTAGTGTTCTGCACTCCATAAAATGAACAGCGGGACTGCAGTATGTTTAGTTTTCTGAAGTGCTCAAGTTTTACATCGTTATTGTGCTTGACTTTTATGTATGTGAAGTGTTTTAAAGCTCACAAAATTCTACCTTTGAGCTGCTGTTCCTTTGTCCATGTTGGGAATTTCTTCTGGATTTCCTTTACCATCCCACATAAAATCTCTGTACCTTGGGCTAAGTGCTCTTCACTGTCCCATGACCCAACAATCTTATGGTACCGTTTGTCAACCTGAAAGTGAGACAGCAATATCAGCACACCAGAAACTACACTATTTATCCAGAGCTCTTCATTGCTTACAGGCTGCTTGTATTAATTTTGATCTTTAATCTCATGATTTACCTCTTTTGTAATTGTATGGAGAGGAAACAAATTTAGCTCAAGGCGCAGACGAAGCTGGCAGATGCATGAATAGCAGACTACTGGAGCACTGAAGAGGAATGCCTACCCCACCTCCTTGTCTGTCAGAGCCTTAAAAACCCTTTACAGCAGCAGCTTACTGCTGTTTAAGCTTTTCCAGCTGCAAGGTGACTGCTCCTCTCCTCCCCAGCTGCATCAAGGGTGGGAAAATCCTTGTTTCCTTTAGGGATCTTCCCTTGGTCTTTGCCCTAGTCATGCTCTTCTCCTTTTCTTCTCCTTCTCCACCTTTTATCCATAGGGTAGTAGAGTACAAGCCTGAGGGGGCTGGAGCTGTTACAAAAGCAGCTCCCAATGCGTGCAGCAGAGGTTTAGGAATTGTACAAACTTGGCAAGCAAGCGAGGCGTGAATGTAGGCATGAATAATGAAGTGTGATTCCCTACTAGCTGGGCCCCTGTGGTACATAAAGGGTAATTAACCTGATGGTATGTAGTTACAGCCTGCAGGCCTCTGTGCTTAAAAAATGTTTTTTGAAACAATATTTATTATCTAAAGTATGAAATAGGAACAATTAATCTCTTAATTCCCCAGAGAGCGCTGGGAAGCAAGCAGTGGTTTCACAATACAAGAGCAGCCTGCTCGTGCCCTGATACTCACCGGGGTCCCTCCCCAGTGCTGGGAGCTGACTGTTGGGTCAGTGGTGGCTTTATTCTGGCCAAAGAGTTAACTGAAAGGGTTTAGGGGGTTGCCTTTCATTGGGGCCCTTGCTGCTCTTCTGACTTTCTGCTTCAACAGAAGGATGAGGTTTGTGTTTTTAAGAAGATTGACCATACCTGCATTAAACCAAATGCGTTTCCGTGGTCACCCCAGCCGTCTTTCAGCACTGTCCCAGCGTGTGACTCCCGAGAGATAATGCCAGCAATCACAGCTGGATCAACACACTTGCTGTTGCCAACTTTTATAATCTTGGCTTGGTATTTCTTCATGTTCTCCAAATCTCTTTCTGCAATTTTTTCTGAGGCAGGAACTCCTACAACATAACATGTATGACTTTTCCTTTCGTTTTTAAAATCGGAAGCAAGTTGTTCTAGCAGCCATCATGACTGAGCTGGCATTTTAAATCCTGAATCTATTTAGAGAGAAGCAATGGTAGAATTGACCAATTTTGCTGAAGGGTAAGTGCCCTACAAATCAATACAGAGATGATAGAAAAGACATTTTTTTCAAATACAGGGGGAAGTTCTCTAGTGTGCAGACTAAAAGGTGGGTCTTCTTGTTTTAAATCTAAGCCTTTGAGTGGATTAGTCCCAGATTTAATTCCTTTTAATTTTGGACTATAATGGGGAAATGTTCAGAAACTTAGGTCATGAGGGAAACCCTGTTAAGGGAGCAAGAAGAGCAGGCTCGATAGCAGAGGTTGGATGCACTTGGCAGACCTTGCATTTTCTCTGTGATAATCTTGAATAGTCCTTAGAACAGCTCAAAGGGAACTCTATTCCCACCATAAACTTATGCGCCCAAGTAGGATCTTGGCTGTGGAAAAATCTGCTCACATGGCAATGACTGACAGCCAGAGACCAGGATCTGTAATAGGCTTGAACTTGTCCGTGAATGTAAGGGGAGATGAACAGCTGAGTTGGTGCCTACCTGCATAGCTCAGACCTTCTGGTTTTGCAGTTGCCTCCGAAGCTCCAGTTGTGTCAACATTCAGTATATTCCCATAACAGCCTAAAAGCAGTATTTACAACCAGACATCAGGCCAGCGCAGGACGTGGCGCATGCCATTAACATGTTTTCAGATCCATGACAAACCCATGGATCTGAAAACATGGGTTTTGATTTGTCAAAACATTATTTTGATACTAATGCCGGCATTTGTGCTAGCAGATGTGGTCATGATATTGTATGCTCTGGAAAGGATTACATCTCAGTCATGCTAGCATAAAGCCAGAGTGTGGCTTGTGAGGTGAACTAGTTTGTGCACAATTTATCTCCTCAAAGTTTTAGCTTGCCTAGAACTTAGCTGTCTAGTCTAAGCTTGTGACTGGGCTGCTTGCTCAGCCAATGGAGAAAGGCACCTCCAAAAGGTGTTTTTTATATTCCAAAATTTAAAAAAAAAATAATCTATGAGAGTCAAAAGAAACCTCACACTACTTACTGGCTCCAGCTTGCTTTTCCATAGCTACCATCAACAGGAAAAATCAAGGAGAAACACCCTTCAATTACATCCATTACAATATATCTGAATTCAGTTTGTTTGACTTGCAATTTATCTGTTGCTAAACACACACTTGCAGAAGGGAAAACACACAAACAGCAACTGAGAGGAACAACGCTAACCCGATCCCAGCAGTTAATGGAAAACAGACTTCAGAAGAGTGAATTGTTTACAAGAATATTAGACAAACATCACTGACCTGACATGTTTGCTGCAGGATGTCTCCCCACCTTCTTGCTGCACTTCCTGGAGACAAATGGGCTTTTTATCTGCTGGCTGCAGTTTGGAACAGCTGACTCAGTGCACTTCCACAAGCCACTGGTGTTACGGGAAACGGGAGTGCCTAACAGTTTGTGCAATCTCCACAGGGTTTCTGCTCTACAGCACAAACACAATTCTGATTTTTAAAATGAAATACCTTTTAATTTAATTTAAAACCCCGTTGCTAGCTGTTGGGAACTAGGAGGAGCCTCGTCTGAAAACGACTATCTCCCTTCAGCTGTTGGGAGCAGTAACGTGCTGACAATGGGAAAGCAGGAACCTGTGCTTTTGGATGTAATGAAGTTTTTGCTGGTAAAGACCCAGCAACAATAACATGACACAGAGCTGCAGCCATGGAGAATTTGGATAGGCAGAGACTATGCCAGGTCCCTGTTGTCATCCCCTCCTTGTACAGTGACAACAAAGGTGAAAGCACAAACCCAAATCAGCAAGCAGTGTGGATCAAAGCCACTGTAGCTGTTCAGCAGAAAGGAAAAAAGCCCCTGGATGGCAGACCTCCCCGTCACTGCTAATCCATCCAGACATGCTTCTTCCCCACGGTAGATGTTGTGAGGGTGAAGTGCTGTTTCGCTCTTTCAGCAGCTCTTTCACATTTTAAGCCAGGGAATCCATTGCACTGAAAGATTTAATTCTGTAAGTTTTTCCTGTGCTGTTGATACCTCCCTTAGAGAACCAGCTGCAAAAAGTCACAGCAGCCCATGCATGGAGCTCTCCATGTTCACTATTATAAGTGAGTTTAAAGAAGGTTGAAACAGAGGAAAGTACCTCTGGCAGGAAGGAAAACAGAACAGATATGGCTTATACAGAAGTGACATTAAAAAAATTTGAAAATTCAAAATGCCACTGAAGACAATTCACAAACCAGTAATCTCCGAATGGCCTGTGCTACTGTTCCCTTATTGCTGGAGGCTAATTGTAAGGGTGTACTAGTTTGCTGCTTCTACATCACTCAAGGCAAGCAGGTAGATCTCCTGTGTTTTCTGGAGCCTTATCCAGAAATCCTTATTTAGTCATGTACGCGTGCACGGAGTCTCACATGCCCTGGGAAGTGTTTTCCTTGGCAAACCTGTATTCATACTACTGGGGGAGAATGGCACGTCTGCACGATGATTAATAACAGCAGCCCTGTCTGTCCCCTGCGCGATGTCGAGCAGGCTGCAGCTTGCAGACTCCAGGGAGAGCTTGGGAGCTGCTGCAGGCTCGGGTCTCCAGGCTGGATGCCAAGGAATGGAGAACTCGGTATGGCTTTTGTCAGTGCTCTTTGCAGCATCTCCCGCTTGTCCCATCGCTCGCATGCCACTGAGGAGGCAGTACATAAGCCACACTGCATTGTGACCTCTCCTGCTATATCAGGGGTACAGGTGGGGGCTTTGGGCAGCCTCAAAAGTGCCCCAAATTGTGGTTTATGTCATGGATTCCCCTTACGCTCGCTGTTAGTTGAGGCATTCAGCAACGTCCAGTTCAGATGCAGCTCATCCTAGTTTTTCTTCATCTCTCAGAAGTGCTACAAAAAGCCTGTCAGAGTGTGGTTCTGCCATGAAACTTGGTCTCTTGCTGCCAGCTGTGGGTTGCCCTACTGCACTGAAACCTCTGCTGAGGTCGGCCCATTTCATCTGTGCAAAGGTACTGAAGGCAAGAGCATGACCTGAAGGTGATGGGGCTGTACACATGCGTGACTGAAGGAATAATTTGACCTGTTGATTGTCTGTCAGTAGGGGAAAAGCCTGAAAGAAAGAGTAAGAAGATGGGGGAAAAATGAGTCAGTTAAATCTGGTTTCCATGAGCGAGAGATATATCAAGACAGAAACTGAAAATATTTGGTGTAAGAACTGAGATAATAGCTGTGGAAGCAGGCCCTGGCATTTCTCAGAAGCAGATTATACATTAACTGAAAGAGATTCATAGAGGCACTTCTCAGTGTGGGAGTGAGTGCTGGCTCATCCGCAAAAGCTTCACCTGAAGCATAACCCATGTTAAGCTCCTGAGAGGGCAGGAGATATCACACAGCCTGGGACAGGGTGGCTTGGTAACATTTTCAATTAAAGGCAAAACAATGACTAGCATGCCTTTTTTTTTTTTTTTTTTTTAACATCATGCTGCAGAGATGAACAAAACTTAGTCTATTTTTAATTAGTGTTTAACTACTTTATAAACTGTTTTTTAACTGTATTTAGGTGTTTTTTACCTGTAGGAGCATGACTTTGACTTGTTTCTACTGGATTTATTTATTTATTTATCCTTGTGTTTGTCCTTAGGTGTGTCCTGACTGGCATTACATCATTTTTGATGGCTAGAGAAACAGTGAAATAGTGAATGTTCCTGAATTGGAAGGCGGAAATTTGTTACCCTGCTGGGAAACATTTAAGCAATGCAGGAACGCAGTTGTGATTTATGTTACTTTTAGCAGTTTTTTATCTTCAGTAACAAGTAGTAAGGACCTCTTCCCTCTAAAAAAAGAAAAAAAAAAAGTCTCTTTTCCATTCTGGTAAGACAGTAGTTGAGAGTCTGACATATATTTGCTTGAAGTTCTCTCCATAAAGGAGAGAGACCCAAGGAGGTCAAACAGGACCCATCTGATGCAAAACAATGTTTAAGGCAGCATAAGGCAAATAAAGAATGTGCTTTTAAGACCTTCCTGCATTTCATAAAGAATCACACTTGCCAAATTGTAATAAAAGTTTTGAGTGGATTATCATTCACATGTTTTACTGCTGCAGACTTATTTTAGAAGCACCCATGGCTTCTTGGTGTTGGAGTTTGGATTAAATTAGCTTAGACCAAGTGGAACTTCTCTTCTTTTTCCCATGTAATTTTTAGGTAGTGTAGTCCCATCAGTAAACTATACCATTTCTGATACTACTGCTCTGATATTTTTTTTCTTTTCTGTAGTTATGGTTCATATTTAAGAAATTAACTTAAGACAGCAGTGTGGCAAAGCTCAGTTTTATAGTTTAGCATTTAAACAATCACAAAGGAATTAAGCCTGACAGTGCAGATCCGGGAGAGTAATGAAAGAAGGAAAACAGTGGCTGTGGCTTTTAGAGGGAAGAGGTTGCACCATCCTTTTCAAAACTCTGCTGATTTTGTTTATTGGTTTGGTTTCAAAAGCCCCCAGTAGTTTTTGCAGAAGCTCTACTTGTCCCATCAGCAGACGTAAAGCCCCATGCTGGTGAGCGCAAAGAGGACAGACATAAAGCTTACACAAATTGCACAAATTCTTTTCTAATAAGCTCATTTTTGCAAGCCTTAGGTCTTGCAAAGCTGAGTTGAGACTAGATAAATTCTCAAGTATCTTGGAAGTCTTGTTTATGACCTAAGTACAGCAAAGGCCATTCTTGTTATAAGATAAACACTACAGAGCAATACCTAAATGCTCTGTATTCATTGCTGATTAAAAATGAAAGCAAAAAAAGGGAAACTACATGTATTTTTGCATTTATGTGTTCATACCTGCACTACTCTGTCCACATGGCCATGACAAACCTGTTTACTCCTTTCTGTTTCCTGGTTGTCTGTTACGCAGTTGTAGACACATATACCTGTCCTTAGCGTGTTTTTTCTTGTCTAAGCCATCCCAGTTCTGCAGTCTTTTCAGGTCACATTTTTTTCACTTCTGATCATGGTTGTTGCTGCAGTTTTGAGGTTTTCCAGTTGCTCCCCATCTTCGCTGAGCTGTAGCTACCCAAACCAGACACAGTCCTTAGCTGAGGTCTTTCCAGTGGTGACTTCACATGTCTTCCAGAGGGTTACGCTGCGTGCCTTCTCATGTGGTAGTCGCCTTCATACCACAGCAGGATACTTCTGCCCTCCCCACTCCCATCTCCCACCCCACTGCCTTGCTCTGGCCCTGGGCTGGGGATGCTGGTTGTGTCAGTCCCCAGGCTGGAGGGCAGGAGATGGTCACCTCCCTCTTTTAGAGGGATCTCTGCAGTGAACATCTGCTGTGAGGTTTGCAGCCATCTTTGTGTGTACCTTGTAAAGACATGTGTTAAGACAATTATATCTTTGCTAAGGCAAATTACAAAGCTTTGTAGGTTTTTTTCTTAAGAAGAAACAAAAAGGCGGATGTTGCTAACACATATTTGTTACATGGCTACCTGAAAACCCTGCTACATCAACTGCCAGGAGGTAGAAAGTACTGAGGTGTTCATGTTTAACTGTAGAGTAACAACAAAGAGGAAGACAGGCAAAAACAGCAGGAGGCCTGCATGGATGGACAGAAAGCTTCTGAA